CGCCCTCACACCCTCGCGCGACCGCTCGCTGCCCCAGCCCCAGAGCTCCCACCCACCTCTCACCAGGCCGACCTCTCACTCTCGCCCGGCTGCTCGCTGCTCCAGCTCCGGAGACGCCACAGGCATGCGCAGGGCCCAGGAAATTCCGGGGGAGGCAGCTAATTAAACTTCCTCTCCCAGGTCGCGATTCCGCCCACCGAGCAGAGCCCCGCCTACAAAGCGAAGGTCTATTCGTGACTCGGCCAGAACACAGAGGCAAGCCCCGCCCATGGGACGGAGCCCCGCCCACAGAACGTAGTCCCCACTCACCGAGGTTGGTAGCACCCCACACAAAGCCCCGCCCACCGCACGTCCTGGACGTGGTCCCGCCCTGGAGCAGGTTCCCACCCCTGACGTAGTCCCGCCCACAGGGCTCTTGTTTCTGGGCACGGTATCTGAGCGCAGCGACGCCCCGCCCTCCGCTGGAAGTCCCGCCCGTCGTGCGAACTCCCGCCCTCTACAGGAAGTCCGGTCCCCAGCGTCTAAACACCATTGGTCACCGAGCCGAGAGGACGTCATCCAAGCGGTTGCCCTGGGCCTCTGCCTTCGGCCCCAGGAGGGGGCGCTCGCACCCTGGCTGGAGGCCACGCGCAAGGAGCCCGAGTCCTTTCCTCAGGCTGTTTCCTTGCTTCACAGCCGCGTGTGGGCCGAGGCGCGCAGGGCCACGGGAAGATGTTGCCAGGGGAGTATCGGCAACTTCAGCGGCGCAGCGGGCGCACCCCTGCCTTCCGGCGCCCGCGTGCACCCGCGTTCATGGCTCGAGGCTCACCGTCCAGGAAAGTACGCCCGGCTCCCGAGAGCGTCCCTCGCGAGAGCAAGTGGCCGCGTGTTTCTCTGCTTCCCTCTCGGACGCCCAGGTGCCGGCGTTTCCACCCGCTCTCCTTGCAAACGGCGAGGCCTGGCCATGCGGGAGTGATGGCGGCCGCCCCACTTGGGTCGCGGGCTTCAGCTGTTCATGCTGGGCAGCCTCAGGAATAGAAAGCAAAGAAATCGCAACCTCACATGGCGCCAGCTCCATAAGTCAACACTCCGCACAGATAACCACGAGAAGACATTCCTGTGGTCAGTAAGCTCCGCTGCGCTGGTCCCGGTGCGATGGGGGCGGGCGTGGCGCTGCTGCATTCGATGCCCACGCCTGTGTGCCTGCCTGCCATGTCCCTGCACCCCGCCGGGCGCCTTATGTCCCCCCCTGTACCAGCGAGTCCCGCAGCTCCGGTGCCGGGAGCTGTGGTTTAACATTTGCTCGGCGACGAGAAATCCCCTGATGGTCCAAAGCAGGGCTCCTGGCCGGGCACTGTCCTCTGATGAGCAGATACCTAGAGGAGCACTTCTGGTCTCTGCCCCACAAATCTGCTTTCCACTAAAGGAAGCAGGCTTTATCCAGAGTAATCTGGCCAGATGCCTGGAAGTCCGAAGCCTGAACGTAGCAAATAGCCGAAGGTTGAGAAGGTGCAGCGCTATCACAGAGGCCATAAAAGCACCGAAGGTACGTGAAGTCCTTCCGCGGTTTTTATGGTTCTTGGTTAAAATGCAAGCAATAGTGTAAAACGACAGGACTTGTGACAGCAGGTGCGTGTTTAAAACCCAGAAGACTGCAAAGGAGGACGTGTGTTACTAAACTAGAACGCGACACTGCATCCCAGCGGTGTTTGAAGAAAAAATGGAAGGATGCTGTGCTTTGTAAGGATCAAGTTCAGTTGATGAGCAAACACTCAGGCTGCCTAAAGCTCAACAGTGATTCCGGTTTTCAGTTGAAATTGTTGTCTGCACAGACGCAGTCAACAGTTTTTTGCTTAGAACAACTCCATTGTGCTGGAATTTGGCTAAGAATTGCATGGCTGTCTATACTGTGATAAATAGAACCAAAAACAAACGTTGGGCTCCTTAAAAACTCATTTTTTCCCCTTTCCTATTAGAACGTCATGCAGTCATTGTAGACATTTGGGAAACTGAGAAAAGCATAAAGAAGTGCACACCAGTGATGACTGGGTTCTGACCTAGCTCCCCATTATCTTTGTCTCACCTGGGTATTGTCACAGCTTCCTGACTGCTCCCCCTGCCTTAATCTCTACCCAGCCCAGCAGCCAGAGGAATCCTGCTGAGATGGTGATCACATAATGTCGTCCTCCGAACTTCCGTGTTCCCACTTCACCCAGAATAAAAGCCAGAGCACTTACAAGGGCCTGTGCCCCGCTCGGATCCCCCTGACCAACACTGCTTTCTCACTGTCCTGTAATCATGGTCCCTAAATGTCTGCAAGGCTCCTCCCTCACCTCTCAGGTCTTATTTGAAATGGTGTCTTTTCAGAGAGGCCCTCATGCCCACTTCTGTACAGTCAGGGGCCCTCTTCTCTGCTGTGCCGTCATCCCATATACTAGAGTTTATCTTGTTCATTATCTGTCTTCTCCATAAAGGCAGAGCTTCCTAGCTGGTTTTGTTTGCAGATGGCTTTGTTTTCTAAAGCATAACAAATCACCCCAAAATTTAGTTGCTCAAAACAAGAGTCCTCATTTATTTTCTCATATTTCAGTGGGGGTGGACTTCGTGGGGGGCATGGCTGCATGTGTCTGGCTCCCATCTTTTAGGTACCCTGAATCCTCTCCAGGAGGACATCCCCACAGGGCTGGATGTCCCCATGGTGAAGCTGACGTCCCCCAGACAGAGGGTCAAAGGCAGACACGGCAATGGCTCTCATGACCCGAACTCAGAAGTCACATACTGCCAGTCCATTCAGTGAGGAAGGAGATGCCCTGAGGGGCTGGCTCAGCAACTGCTTTGTCCCCTGTGCCCAAAACTGCCAGCACAAATGTTTGGACAATGAATAGATTCCAGCCCTCATATTTTTAAAATATATTTTCAGCCTTTTTTCTAAGCAAATACACTATACTGTTAATTAAAAATTCAGAATATCTCTATAAATATAAGCATGTTAACTATATTTTAAATGTAATATTTAATGTTTTTCAGAATTATATCTTTTGACTATACAATAAGTTATTTCAACTCCTCATTAGCATTTCTGCCTCTAGATTATTTTCCGCTATAAATGCATTGTGATGAGCATCCTTTTGCATAGATCTTTGAGGGCATCCCTTAATGTGTTCTTGGGGAGTAAGACCTAAGGTTGTGAACACTTACAGTGCACCAATAGAGTGACATTGACTTATTGCAAATTCTTTGATAGCGGGGTTATTTTGAGCTCAATTATCTGGACATTCCAGTGTTGATCTAATGAGAGGAAGCAGAAGACCAGAAATGTAGAAAGTAGGGTTTTAGCAGCTTATTCTTGTCTGACAATAGAGGATAAAACTTTTGCCTCTAGTTTCTGAAAGCTGGAATCTGAGAAGTGGCCTGAGCAGTGATTCACTGGAGAATTCTCCCTCTGGCATGAACCTGGGCCAGCAGGTACCTCGGTGCCTGTGGGCTCTGCAATCTCCTGGCAAGGTCTCTCTCTCCTGGGCAACTTGCACTGTGCACCCCCCACTGCAGGGCAGCCTCAGGAAGGGGAGGTAAATCGAAACTCCATATAGCGCCAGCTCCATAAATCAACACTCTCCACACAGATAACCAAGATAAGACATTCCTGTGGTTAATAGGCCCCAGCTGCGCAAATCACGGTGCGATGGGGGCGGGCGCGGGCTCTGCGGAGAGAGAGCACCTTGGACTTGGGACTGCACGCTGGGCTGAGTCCCACCGGGAGCTGGCCTCTGTAACAGGAGTCCTGCTCCTGGCTTTCCTGCTCAGTGAAACCAGAGGAAACAGCCACTGGGTTTACAGTTAGGCTTTCTAAAAAGCACTTGGAAAAATGTGCATCTCAGAGGGTCTGTGCGTACCTTCTCATAAAGCAGCATCAGTTCATCCAGGGTCGACAACATCATTTTGGTTTCCCCTTGGTATGTTACTACACTTCCCTGGGTATCTCTACGGCTAGGGTTACACTTAGAGTGCTGCTCGGAACCTAAGGTGTTGACGCCTTGAAGAGCCCACTAAGAGTGGTTGCTGCAGGGAAGACTAGACTGGATCCAGCTGGTTTAAGAGTGAAGTAGAGATGATGACCATGGCCTTGGTCAGGATTCCTGGGTTTATTGGTCAGTATTAATCTTCCACTTATTTGTACTTGACGGTCGTGAACCTGGAGACAGAGGCTCTCTATGAAGGAAAACATCCACAAATAGTTGTAAAGGGTTAATTAGCAAGTTAATGGGGTCATTGCCTCCAAATCTTTTTGAAAATTTTAACATGTACAGGAAAATGGGAAGAATAGTCTAATGAGCACCCAAACATCCTTCAGCCAGATCCACCAATTACTGCCAGTTGCAGGCAGCAGGTACTTTAGCCCCACAGCATCAGCCTTCATCTACAGCAGCGGTTCTCAACCTGTGGGCCGCGACCCCTTTGGGGGTCGAACAACCCTTTCACCAGGGTCACCTAAGACCATCGGAAAACACGTATATAATTACATATTGTTTTGTGATTAATCACTATGCTTTAATTATGTTCAATTTGTAACAATGAAATTGGGGGTCACCACAACATGAAGAACTGTATTAAAGGGTCGTGGCATTAGGAAGGTTGAGAACCACTGATCTACAGTCTTCCCATCACATCATCGCACAAACATTAACATCGGTTCGTGAGACCACCTACATGCTGTCATGTCCACATCTGTCCTATTGACTGGAAGATTCTATTTTCGCTGTTTTTCCCGATGTAGGACCTTAGGCTTACCCATTGTGTTGGGTTTATATGTATCGTTTGTCTCCGAATCGAATCCTAGGCTGTGTAAATATCCTGCTCCCCCGTAACCTTTTGTCCAGAAGTTCTAGCTCCCGTGACTGATCTTTGCCTGAACCAGATATTACATTGGCCTCGCAAAAATGGCTTTAAAATTCTGTCATCCCATCTGTAGTTAGTAGTTAGCATTCTCCCGGAAGCATTGTTCTCTCTTTCTCCCCCTGCCCCCATGGGTAATTTGAGGGAAGGAGATTATAATCTACCAGCATTATTCTTTCTCATGGCCAATTGTCCCAAACTTGGCATAGGACCTCCTACAAGCTAGGTCCTGTGTGTGTTGTGTATTTTATATGACCCAGTTAGTTTTTTGTGAGTTTACTTTGTTTTTTTTCTGATATCTTTTTTTTTTTAAAGAGTAACTTTAGGCTCACAGCAAAATTGAGAGGTAAGTATTAGGCATTTCCCATATACCTCCTGCCCCTATAAAAGTAGAGCCTCCTCCATTATCAACACTCACCAAAGGGTACATTAGTTACAAATGATTAACCTACATTGACACCTCATTATCAACCAAAGTCCAGTTTACCTTAGGGCTCACTCTCAGTATCTGTATGTTCTATGGCAGGGTGGGCAAACTTTTTGACGAGGGCCACAATGGGTTCTTAAACTGGACCGGAGGGCCGGAACAAAAGCATGGATGGAGTGTTTTGTGTGAACTAATATAAATTCAAAGTAAACATCATTACATAAAAGGGTACGGTCTTTTTTTTCAATAGTTTTATTCATTTCAAACGGGCCGGATCTGGCCCGCGGGCCGTAGTTTGCCCATGGCTGTTCTATGGGCTTAGAACATGTATATTGACATGCATCCATCATTGTAGTATCACACAGAGTATTTTCTCTGCCCTGCAATCCTCTGTTCCATCTATTCCTGGCCCCCCAGCCCCTGACCACCGCTGATCTCTTTCTGCCTCCATGGCTTTGCCTTGTCCAGGTCATAAAGGCGGACTCATGAGCGTAGTCTTTTCGGTGGCCTTATTTCACTTAGTGAAATGCATTGAAGTTTCTTCCATGTCTTTTCGGGGCTTGACAGCTCATTTCTTTTTAACGCTGAGCCATAGCCCATTGTCTGGATATTTATCTTCCCACTGTTTGCTTATTTATCCATTCTCCTACTGAAGGACGTCTTGGTTGTTTTGAAGATTTGGCAGGAATAAAGCTGGTATAAACATCAAGTGCAGGTTTTTGTGTGGACATAAGTTTTTAGCTCCTTTGGATAAATACCAAGGAACATGACACTGGGTCCTATGGGAAGAGTATGTTTAATTTTGTAAGAAACCACCAAACTATCTTCCAAGGAGGCTGCACCATTTTGCATTCCCACCAGCAGTGAGTGAGAGCTCTTGTTGCTCCACATCCACGTCTGCACTTGGTGTTGTCTGTGTCCCGGACCTTCGCCACTCACGGTGTGGAATGGGCTGCTCATTAGCATCTCCGAGGACATCAGCGAGGAGCATCCTCCACGCGCTTATTTCCCACCTGCACACCTTCGGTGAGTTCCAACCCCTTTTTAAATCAGGTTGTTAGCTTTCTTATTGATAAGTTTTAAGCATTTTTTTGTATTTTGGATAACAGTCCTTTTGTATATGTGTATTTAAATACAAGTATATATACACATACACTGTCTTCTGTGATGAAAGTGAATATAAATCAGACCTATTCCTAAAGATGTGGCTCTTGTTATAGTGGCACAAATGAACCCGACTCTGCCACAGAGCGTGGGTGAGGGAAGCCGGGTCTCCTGATGCAAGAAGAGCCTGCAGTTCACTGCGCTCAGCGCCCTGGGAAAACCTGCTCTGCTGCCACCCCCTGAGCAGGACAGGCGAGGAAGGCACAGGCTGCCCTGTGGTGGCAGGTGCGCTCTGCAGAAGCTTCAAACCCGTCCTCACTCAGTGTTTCTAACCCATGCAGCCACCAGAGAGGGACCTTCTGGGACTTGCAGGCATCACATTGTGCAGCTCCCGAATGGCCGACAGGAGGAAAGGAAAGATGATCTTCAGGCATCCACGCCTCCGTCTTTCCGGAAGGTTCCTGCCATCAAAAAGCTCTTGGCACTAGTCTGTCCTTAAGTGACACTGCACAGTTCAGGGTGAAATTTCAAATGGACCCAATGCTCAGCCTCAGCTGAGACAGTGATTACAATCCTGAGGCTACAGGGGTCTGTTTTCAAGCCGCACAACCAGTGATGCCTAAGCCGTCCACCGCTACATACAGCAGTGTTTTATAGAGCTCAATATCTCGCCCCCACAAACCCAAAATGTGTCTGTATGGGTGGAACAGGTTCGCATAGACTTCTCGTTAAGACGTACCTACCGCCTCCAGATTCTGCAGGTTTTCACAAACACCAAACTCCTCCCGGCAACGCCGTCTCCACCAGCAGGCCAGCACCCAGGGGACTCCTCACCCTCTCTGCAGGGTGCAAAGGGCTGCAGAACTTGGGGACCAAGGCACCGGGGCCACAACCTGCAGAAGGTGACCAAGACCGCGGGTTGAGGGGTGGGGGACCCTCAGGCCCGCCCTCTGCTGGGGGCACTTGGAGCATCTTCCTCAGCGCAGCTGCCAGGACGTCCCGGAAAAT